AAGTCATAAGTAAGACAACCTAGGAATGGAAGGAAAGGGAAAGACGTCAGAAATATATCATCTTATAAGTGGGCAAGGTAACTGAATTTGAGGGCTTAGGGAGAAGTATAGGATGACTCTCAGGTTTCTAGCTTAGGAAACAATGGCTGCATAATGATTCCACTAACTCAAGATGCTGTAGGGAGAAGAAGCAGGTCTAGGCTGAAGCAAGAGGTCACTGTTGAAGGGGGTGGAGGGGAGCTAAGATGTGTAGGGGGATGATGGAGGCATATAATGAATCCATATTTGGTTATGTTTAATTTGAGTTTATTTTCCTAGGACTTTGTATGACGGATCTTCACTAAAGCTATCCCAGCGACCCTTTATTTCCAACAAAAAATGTGTGTGTGTGTGTGTGTGTGTGTGTGTGTGTGTGTGTGTGTGTTTGGGTGAAGAGGGACTAGATGTGCAGAAACAAACAAAAATATGACCTCATGCAAAAAAGAGTAAATGAGGGGGAAGGGTATGGTAGGTTGTCCTATCATACCCTGCTCCCTCATTTACTTCTTTTTCCTCCTCATTATTAGAACATATGTCTAGTAGAATTAGTGTCTTCTATATGGTCAAGAGAAATGTTTGCAGAAGGTAGAAAGGGATAACAGTCTAGAGACAAGATTCAATCACATCTGCTCTAAAATTATTTGGATATCTGTTCTATGATACTTATAACATGGCTAATAGTCTCAGGGATAAATAATCATTCTATGAAACTCACAAAACTGTAAACACAGAGGTACTTAAATTCTGTTGATTATTTTAAGAAGGAGAAATGAAGAGTCATTTTTAAGCGATTTTGCTTTTTCCTTTATCTTGCTATAATTGTCATATTACTTTTTAAAATACTGATTGATTAAATAATCAAGGGCCATTCACTCTCAGCCTCCTTATTTTATATATTTCCCTTGAAAACCAGAGCTTCCAAAGGTGGTGGGGAGAGCTTCTGGGGAGTCCCAGCATCCGCACTCTGCTGACCCAACACCCGTCTCAGTATCTGCAGCCTCCTCCACTTCCTTCCTGGGCAATGAGAACCAGCGGCCAGAAATCCATCATGTCTATCCTCAAGATTCACGCCAGAGAGATCTTCGACTCCCGTGGAAATCCCACCGCTGAGGTCGATCTTTCCACGGCCAAAGGGCTCTTCAGAGTTGCCGTGCCAGTGGTGCCACCACTGGGATCTATGAGGCCCTGGAGCCCCGGGACAATGATAAGACCTGGGCAAAGGGGTCTCACAGGCTGTTGAGCACATCAATACTACAATTGGGCCTGCCCTGGTTAGCAAGAAGCTGAACGTTACGGAACAGGAACAGATCGACAAGCTGATGATTGAGATGGATGGAACTGAGAATAAATCAAAATTTGGTGCAAATGCCATTCTGGGCAAGTCCCTCACTGTGTGCAAGGCCAGAGCTGTTGAGAAGGGAGTCCCCCTGTACCATCACCTTGCTGACTTGGCCGGCAATTATGAAGTTGTCCTGCCAGCTCCTGCTTTCAATGTGATCAACGGCGGCTCCCACGCCGGCAACAAGCTGGCCATGCAGGAGCTCATGATCCTCCCCGTCAGGGCAGCCAACTTCAAGGAGGCCATGCGCATTGGGGCCGAGGTGTACCACAACCTGAAGAACGTCATCAAGGAGAAGTATGGCAAGGATGCCACCAATGTTGGGGATGAAGGCGGATTTGCCCCCAACATCTTGGAGAACAAAGAAGCCCTGGAGCTGCTGAAGAATGCTATTGGGAAAGCTGGTTACACCGACAAGGTGGTGATTGCCATGGACGTAGCTGCCTCCGAGTTCTTCAGGTCTGGGAAATACCACCTAGACTTCAAGTCTCCTGATGACCCCAGAGGGTACATCTCACCTGACCAACTGGCAGACCTGTACAAGTCCTTCATCACGGACTACCCAGTGGTGTCTATCAAAGACCCCTTTGACCAGGATGACTGGGACGCTTGGGCCAAGTTCATTGCCAGTTCAGGGATCCAGGTGGTAGGGGACCATCTCACAGTGACCAACCCGAAGTGAATTGCCAAGGCCGTGGGCGAGAAGTCGTGCAACTGCCTCCTGCTCAAAGTGAACCAGATCAGCTCCTCGACTGAGTCTCTGCAGGCATGCAAGCTGGCCCAGTCCATTGGGTGGGGCATCATGGTGTCTCATTGTTCTCGGGAGACTGAGGATACTTTCATTGCTGACCTGGTGGTGGGACTCTGCACTGGACAGATCAAGACTGGTGCACCATGCAGATCTGAGTGCCTGGCCAAGTACAACCAGATCCTCAGAATTGAAGAGGAGCTGGGCAGCAAGGCCAAGTTTGCTGGCCAGAAGTTCAGAAATCCCCTCGCCAAATAAGCTGGGCAGGCAGACCTCTGGTAGTCCTTCCCCCGAGCCTGTTGGCATTCTCACCGCTTCATTAGAGCTGCCCCCATGGCCAAGCCAGACCATCTGGACACCTGTTGGAAAGCCCACCTTTGTGATCCTGTGACATCCCAACTCCTTGCCCTTCTTGCAAGCTTCCCACCAAGTGGCCCAGTGTCATCCGAGGTGTCAACAGGCAACATCCCCAGTGGTTTTGTTTGCAAAATAAACATCAGTGACCCCTAAAAAACTTAAAAACAACAACAAAAAACCCCAGATCTTCTGCTTTATTCTAAAATTATATTGAGAGAAATTCTTTCATAAATTGAATATCAGCTTAACGATATTTAAATTCAGCAGATTTTAACATTCTACCAATTCTTATGTTCTGTAAGAAAAACACTGTGTTATTCAATTAAAGGAAAGAACACTCTATAGTTAATCCATACCAATGCTTTGAATACTAAATATTCTCTTCAGTTAAAGCAAAATTTAAAGTTCAGAACTCCATGTGGTTCTAGGAAAAGTGGAGCATGCCAGAATTTGAAAAAAAAAAAAAAACATTAACAAGCCAGAGTCTAGTACAGTTCTTGGCCCAAGGTAGTCTGCAATAGATGTTATAAATGATATATGAATTTACAAGGAAAAAGAATTAAACTTGAATCATATGAAATTGTTATCAATGTAACCATTATATAGATGATGATAATAAAGGAAATGAATGTGCTGTTAATAATTGAAAGAAGTTAGTAAAGATGTTCAACAACGAGTACTTATGAAACAAGCTAAATTTATTTTTAAAAAACAGAATTAATTTCCAATAGATATTTTAAAACTCACGGTCATTGACTCAATTCTGACTCATAGTGACCCCACAGGAAGGACAGACCTCCCTCTGTGGCTTTCCAAGACTGTAGTTGTTTAGGGTGTAGAAAGCCTCATCTTTCTCCTGAGAAGTAATGGTGGTTTACAAATTGCTGACGTTAAAGTTAACAGACATAAACTCCTAAGCCATCAGGACTCCCTTGAGCTGATAAAGACCATTTAAAGCAAGTGAAATGCAGTCAATGATTTCCAAATGTCCCACTCGAGAAGATGATTACCAGCACGCAATGCAGCCTTTTCATGCTGAACGCCCTGGTGGAGTGTCAAGATGAAGAGTGTAGACTTCAGAGCTAGGTTGTCGGGATTTGAATTTCTACTCTACCACATAGTACCCGTGTAAAACTAGGCACACTGCTTAACCTTAGTCTTCTTCATTTGTTTCTTGATTCAAAAAACAGCACAAAAACTATATCTACCACTCCCTTTCTCTCTCACCAAAAGCAAACCATTTCATCGGAACTTTACAGGCAATGTTGAATTGCACTATTGGGTTCTGACGCTGTCAATCTTTAAGGAAGCAGACTGCCTCATCATTCTCACATGGAACGGAGGGTGCATTCAAACAATTGGCCTTTCTGTTAAGACTCTAAAAAGTACTCATGGATGGTGTTGATTGTCTTTTTCACTTGTTTTGACCACATCTGAGGAAATGTGAGTTTTCATTAAATACAAGAAGACTAGTACCATCATCACCACTACCAGCCTACATCAAGACCACTGTCCCAATTACTATCACTGTCATCACCATTTATAGCACCACCAGCTTCTATCACCACCGTTATCTTCTCTGTCATTACTGCCTTCTTCAATAGTACTACCACCATTTTCACACTATTTTCATCCTCACCACCATCACCAATACAAATGCCAACATCACTGTCAACTAGAAGCTTCACTGTCAGTTTTACCATCGATATTATTGCCATCATCACCAAACATATCGAGCCCAGTATATCACCACCACCACTCTCGGTGCTGCCATCCCCTCTATCACCATCATAATCATCACCCCCACCACCACACCATCACTATCAGCCTTCACTACCACAGTCACCATTTCCACCATAAACACTCCTACCATCACCACTACAATCACCACATCACGGACACCAACATCTTTAATGTCTATATGAACATACATTTTAAAAGTTAGAAGCTTCAGTATATAAGAAGATGAGAAAATTTTGGTTTGGTTAAAACCTCTAATTGAACAAGTAAAATTGTACTATGGAGAACACAACTATGATATGAAATAAAAGGAAAGGTTTTCTATGAAAAAGAATGTCTTCATATTCTTGAATTACTACAAAAGAGTAGATGTCTAGTCAAATGATGAAAACATTTATGTGTAGGTCCTATTAATAGTGTTATCATAAGGTGTTATGAAATAGTTTAAAGAATGTTTAGAAGAGAACATATTTAGCAAAGATCTTTTCTAGCATCAGTTAGCGTCTGAAACCTACAGGTGATATGTAAGCCAATGAAATATTCAAAAGGAAAGAAATCATTGTTAAGGGCATATAAAGCCAAAAAACTGAATGTTATGTATATGAGGGTGAGAGGAGGGAGTAATTGGTAACAAGTATTAAGCAGTCAAGAAAAAAAGATGAGATACGCTAAAGAATCATTTTTAAAATTTAGCTGACTAAAGTAGATCTACATTTGCGATTTTATAGGATATATAATAGATGCAAGATGATAGCATTTTCATTCCTCTGTACTCACTGTGCATGGAGTCTGCATCCAGGGTTCCCCATCAATCTGCATGGGTAATGACTTGCTAGTCCTAAAGAAAGATATTTCATTATATGTATAACACTGATAACCTACATAGCAAACTGTGCACAACAGACAATGGCTAAATCAAGGAATGAAAATATTATAATTGCTGGACTCCAAAGGCTTTTATTCTGCAAGGGGCTTCACCTTGATTATTAGTGAAGCTCCTAAAAGAGTGGTTCTCAACCTTCCTAATGCTGCCACCCTTTAATACAGTTCCTCATGCTGTGGTAACCCCCAACCATAAAATTATTTTTGTTGCTATTTCATAACTGTAATTTTGCTACTGTTATGAATCATAATGTAAATATCTGATATGCAGGATCTATTTTCATTGTTACACATTGAACATAATTAAATCATAATGATTAATCACAGAAACAAGATGTAACTATATATTGTGAAATATTTATTTCTAATGATAAATAAATGAAATTTTGTCTTGAAGCATGGTGCAGCACGGGAAACAGTCTTCACGCTGGGTACTCCTATGTGGACATATCTGCATGTGGGCAGACACACCAGGAGAGGGATAGAGGAGTGGTGCCTCAGTGCCTACGACCATCCAAAATATGTTTTCCAATGATCTTAGGTGACCCCTGTGAAAGGGTTGTTTGACCCCCCCCAAAGGGGTCGTGACCCACAGGTTGAGAACCGCTGTCCTAAATGATACCTTGCTCATAGCGATGTGAAGAGCACCTCCAATAATGTCATAATGAAGGAAAATGCTCAGGATGAAAATAAAAATATATCCAGACATATGATTAGCAGCAGAATCAGAATTACTACAGCCAAGAGGGCTGTCTTCTCTGATAGTGATATAATCCATTGTCAATTGGAGGATTAAAAGTTTAGGAGTGGAGTCTAGGCTGTCAATCAGAATATAGCCAATAAGGCCTCTGTGTGGGCATGGCCTACTCCTGGGAATTCTGGGAACTCTGGAATTTCCACCTTGGTGGGGGAGACACTTCTCTCTCTTTGATCACTTCCTGCGAAATATCCCTGAGGAGAAGTCGCATGGACCTACCCTGATACAGCCCTGGGTGCTGGAGAAGCCACAGAGAGACCCCTGCCAGAGCTGAGATGCTTACAACGCCACTGGACCCAAGACTTCCTACCCACTGGCCCGTGGTCGTCCTGCATTCGGTGTCATTGCATTTGCTTCATGAGTCTGAAGAGGAATTTACAGACTGGTATCGGACATATGGACGAATATCGGATTTATGGGCTTGGACTGGTCTGGGCTGGGACGTTTTCTCACTATTCAACTGCTTTTGTATATAAACTTCTTTCTTATATACATGAATTTCTATAGATTTGTTTCTCTAGTTTACCCAGAAGAAAACACCTTCATCCTTCAATACCGCAAAATTAAGGGAATTTTTTGCTTTTAGATTCCTAGTTATCTCTATATGTATACTAATATGTATTTAAATTACTCCTTGTCAACTTCCTCTCAGGTTAGTGCCCTGAGTAAGGATACCATAGGAAGATAACATTAGAATGATTTGGGGTATAGATGAAATTTTAGGAAATTTTAGGAAATGTCTCTTGAATATGGTTGAATTACTTTTGCCACATATATAATCTAATTTTATAAGAACAATAATGTAGATTAATCCACAAAATAATTTAAAGTGATGCTGCCTCAACAGTGTTTTCTTCTTGAAGAAATCATTTTATTGGAGGCTCTTACAGCTCTTATAACAATCCACACATCAATTGTATCAAACACATTTGTTCATATGTTGCCATCAACATTTTCAAAACATTTCCTTTCTACTTGAGCCCTTGGTATCAGCTCCTCTTTTTCCTTTACTCCACCACCTCCCACACTCATGAACTCTTGATAAAATATAAATTATTATTATTTCCATATCTTACACTGTCTGCTATCTCCCTTCACCCACATTTCTATTGTTTGTCCCCCTGGGAGGGGTGGTGGTGGGAGGGATTATATGTGAATCATTGAGATGAGCTCCACATTCACCCCTTCTCCCACAACCTTCCTACTCTCGTGGTATCACTACTCCCATTACTATTCCTAAGGGGCTTATCTCTCCTGGATTCTGTGTGTCAAGAGTTCTATCTGTACCAGCAGACTTGCTCTGCTTTAGCCAGATTTGTAAGGTAGAACTGAGGTCATGATGGGGGGTGGGGGACATTAAAGAACTGAGATAGTTAATGTTTATTGTGCCAACCTGGAAGATAAACACACGTGGGATTAATTGAAGGGTGGAGAGATAAATGGCTCGGTGAGCCTCACCTTACTAGTTCTTGGGTCTCTTGCTTTGTGATGGTTGGACCAGGGTGCAGCTGCCTTAGCCAGTTCCCTGCTTCAGCTGGCAAGGCTCATTTCCTGCAATTTATCCCTGAGGAGAAGCCACATGGACCTACCCAGATGCAGCCCTGGGTGCTGGAGCAGCCACAGGGAGGCCCCTGCCAGCCCTGAGATGCTTACACTCTCACTGATTTGGCTTTCCTCCTGAAATTGGCATCATAGTGTGTGTTTTGAGAGATGGAGGAGGACTTAGTGGATTGGTGTCGGACATATGGGTTAATGTTGGACATGTGGGCTTGGACAGCACTGGGATGGGATGCTTTCTTGATGTACATTTACTCTTTACATAAAACTCTCTTTTATACATATGAGTTTCTGTGGATTTGTTTCTCTACCCAGACTAACACAAGAACTAAAGGAATGTTGTGTGTTTCGTCAGTGCTATGCTGCACCCTGGCTGTGGTTTCTTCCTTGTGACCCTTCTGTGAGGGCATGTCCAACTACCTAAAGATGGGCTTTGGGTTGCCACTCCACCCTGCATTGTTTGCGTTGATGTAATTGATTGTTTTGGGTCTTTTGATGCCTGAAACCTGATCCTGTGGACACCTCATGATCACAAAGGCTGATGCTGCGCTTGTCCTTTTGTGATTGGCTTAGTTTGCTTAGCATGATTTCCTCCAACTCTTCCCATGAGGCGATGTGCTTCATGTGTTCATCACCTTTTAGGGATGTGTAGTACTCCATTGTATATATATGCCAGAAGTTTTTTAATTCATTCATCGGTCAATGAGATTTATGTTGTTTCTAATTCTTGTGAATTGCTTCGTGATGAACACTGGAGCACAGATGATTTTATTGTTATTTGAAAATTATATACAGCTAAAGAGTTATGTGAAAATGTCAAATGGACAAGGGTTGGTCTGTGGTAATTACATAATCTGTTGTTATTTGAGACTCTTATGAGTGGAGGGTGGGTCATAATGTTGCTCAATTTCCATCCATTTTAGATAACACCAAATCAATTTCCATAGGCACAAACCTACAGAATCACCAGCAGTGGATAAGAGTTCCTGTCTCACCACATCCCTTCCAACACTTGGTGCTCTCTGGCTTTTTGAATTGGGCTAGCTTTCACAGTGTTAGGTGGTACTTCAGAGTTGTTTTAATTTGCATTTCCCTTATGGCTAATGATAAAGAACAGTTTCTCATATGTTTATTGGCCATTTGGATTTCCACCCTTGTGAAACTTCTGTTCAGGTCTTTTGCCCACCTCCTCAATGGGCTATTTGTGTTTTTCTTACTGTAGGGTATTAGAGTATTGTAGATGTTAGTAATACGGCCTTTGTCTGATGTGTCATTGCTAATGATATTTTCCCAGTCTGTGGTCTCTCTTATTAATCTCTTGGTGAAGGCTTTCGATATACACAGGTGTTTAACTTCAGTATAACCCACTTGTCAATTTGTTCTTCCTGTTTGTGTCCTTCCCTATTTCCGATAACCTATGCATTCCCTTTGCCAGCGTTTTTATATTTGTCTCAATTCCCTCTTTGATGGCCCTAATTGTTTGGGGTTTTACTCTGAGATCTGTGATCCACCTTGAGTTTATGCTTGTGTATTGAGTGAGGTAAGGGTCTTGCTTCATTTTTCTGCATGTAGCTATCCATCTTTCCTAGTGCCACTTATTGAAGAGGGTATTTGCTTCCCATTTGATAATTTTGGGGCCTTTATCAAAGATCAGTCGTCTGTATGCTGATGATTTCATTTCTGGGTTTTCGATTCTTTTTCATTGGTCTGAATCTCTCTCATTACACCAGTACCATACAGTTTGCCACAACAGGGCTTTCATTGGGCAATTTGCCTAGTGGATATTTTGGGACTTCACTAAACTAAGATGAATTTAGTCCCATTTGGTCAAATCAACAAAACCCATTGTGGTCGTCACCTCTGACTCAGAGCAACCCTATTGGTTTATGGTAACACACAGGGTTTTCCTGGCTGTAGTCTTTAAGCAGGTAGATCACCAGATCTTATAAATGCACCATTTCTGGGTGGGTTTGAACCACTGACTTTTAGGTTAGTAGTAAAGCACCAGCCAGGGACCTTGTGAATCATTTTACAGCAGATGAAATCAGTATGTAAGAATTTGTGCACTGTGGGAAATCAACCCGGGAAATTTGAATACTAGTGAACATGATAGGTAATGGCTAATTAACAATTTGTAAAAATCCTCCCACTTAAAAAAACCTACCATCTTATAAAATCATATCAGCATTAATCATGGATCATTAAAATAGGCACACATAAGACACATACCACAATTGGAGTCTTGAGTAGTTATAATTGGTTTCACTTTGGTCTTGTCAAATCCCTTCTTTAATTAGAGAGAAAATGAAATTCTACCTGATGACCACACAGGAACATTGAGCCAGCCGCCGCCCAGCACTTTTCAGTCCCGTGTATATCTGCCCCATCTCCATGGCGCCTTCCAGGCCCACTACCTCCAGCAGCTGGTCACTCAGGTCTGAAAGGAGACAGATGCTTTGTAGGCTACACTGTACAGATGTATGTCCACAACTTAATGAGATTCAACAGTATTGAGATGGAAAAAATAAAACCACTTTACAAAAGAAAACTTCTCTCTTTTGGAAACCAAAAGTAATGATACTCTCAGTTGAGTTGTGCCTTGAGGCTCTATGGGAAATGATTTGCTGTCAGCTTATTCTAAAACAAAATGGGAAGAATAGATTCTGAGCCAAATAGTGCCAAAAACGATACCAGTAGTTTTTGACATCAACAAACTTAATGTTATTCCACATGTATATATGGAACATTTATACATCAGACAGTTTGGCAGCAGATACACATTTCAACACTATAAATAAAGTATGAGGATATGCTGTCAAACATGATTTTGTTAAATTACTGGAAGAAGAAATCTTAGAGATCATTAAGTTGAAGCTTTTCATTTTATAGATAGGGAGACTGGAGACTTAAACCACTGAGTGACTTGTCCACGGTCACAGGTAACTTTGTGTAGAAGTTCTAGAAACAATATCGCTATGTTCAAAGGTTTTGTATTAAGGAGTATGCTTGCTTTTTGTCATTAGTTGTCCTTGAATCAGTTCTGACTCATGGTGATCTCATGTGTGCATGGCTAATTACTGCAGTGTAATCATGACTTGAGCATTGTAATAGATCACCTTTCTTTGGAATGGGTACAAATATCGATCTCCTAGAGTCAGTTGGTCCAGGAGCTGTCCATAGGGTCACTGTGACTCTGAACCAGCTTGATGACACCTACCACCACCACCACCAATCATGGTTTTATTCTATTCTTGAATAAAAGACAAAAGGAAGTAATAGATATTTTTGACTGTGTGTGACTGAACTAATTACTTGGTATATATTATTAAGAAGTCATAGTGGTGTAATGGTTATGCATTGGGCTGCTAATCAAAAGGTCAGTGGTTTGAAACCACTAGGTGCTTTGTGGGAGAAAGACAGGGCTTTCTACTTCTATTAAAGCTAGAGTCTCGCCAACTCATAGGGGCAGTTCTACCTTGTCCTATAGGGCCCTAGGAGTCAGACTGAGTGGATGGCAGTGAACATATTATCTCATTGGCTATTCCTTGAGACCAGTTTAAGATAATTATTATCAGATCCCATTTAGAGATGAAGAAGCTGAAACCTGGAAAAATTAACTAATTTATGGTATTCATATTTACATATCTAGTAGGTGACAGCCAATAATTGAACTTAATAACTTTGTTTCATAAGTACAGTGCTATGTTTGATAAATCATCCCATGTGAAAAGGAGAGATTTAGAAATTATTTTTTTTATTTTTTTGAGATTTAGAAATTATAGAGAAAATTTTGTTACATTGGCTTGGGGAGAAGGGATTCAGAATGTTTTAACCCTAAAGTCTCTTTCCAACCTGAAGCTTTTTGCTTCTCCAGAGAGCAGAAGGCTGCACTCAGGGGAGTCGATTCCCAGAGAGCCAAGCTGCTCAGAAGACCCAGAATGCACCTTCTTACCGGTTTCACTCACAGGACTCTGTCTCTGGACTTGGAGGCAGATGTCCAGGTGCATGTACAGCCCTGGCTATTTAATTTTTCATGACTTCTGACAAAATATTCAGTATATAATGAAATTGTATATTGACTCTTTGTTTGATTGTGATCAACATGTCTACCTGCATACATAATATATAATTATGAAGAAAATAACTACAATAAAAGAAAAAGAGTTTTTTATGGAAAAGTATTCAGATTTTCAATGTAATGTAAAAGATTAAAAGTGTATCACTACTAGTGTTTCAGCTTATACATATCTGGGTTTATTTCAAATAAAAGGTGTTTAAACTTGTCTATCAGGTCAGTAGAAGCCCGAGCAGACACTATTTCAGTATTACGCTGAAGTCCCATTAGGGCACCTTCAAAAGGTGTCCGATCAAAATAGCACATGGTAGAGCATCTACCAGACCAGTTAAACTCAAGGAGGGGTGTTACTGAAATATATATGGTGATGGGATTTGGGGTGGGTTTGTTTTGTTTTCCAAATGTGTGACTTGATAGATTCTTGAGGGACAATGGGTGATCCAGGAGCCTTATTAGAAAGAATGTTGAAGAAAACTGAACACTGTATTGGTAAGAAAAAGGCAAGAACAATTGTGCCAAGAATTTTTCTTTTTCCCCATCATGACAAGCCTCCTGCTCCTTTGTGTCCAGAAAGGGCTGTCCTGTGAGAATTTTCTTTGGAAACTTCAGCCCAGCTTACAGCTCCTTCAGCTTCTGGTTGTTCTCCAAACTCAAAGAACATTTAAAAGGAACATGAATTTAGTCCCTCGAGGATGCTGAACCTTGTTTTGACATGATGTCAGTGGGAGAGCTCAGAAGTCTTTGGGGAAGGGTTGCAGAGGTGGAAATACTATCTTGCGCAGTACATAAAGCTAGTGAGAGGACATGTTGGGAAACAATAGTTTCAAGTTTTGATACATTTATTTAATGATGATTTGGGGGTTTTTTTAGCAGTATTTACTCTTGTATTTCTAAGTATGTTCAAGTGCAATAAATGTTTTAGTAGAGGAAAAATATGGCAGGGAGGTATTGAATGGAGAGTGTACTAAATAATTGTATGAGTATAATAGTTGATCATAGAGTGGATTCAGAAAAATAAGACAATGTGTTTTCCATTGAATCCATTTTGTAGGGAAATCTTTCACTCTACTAATGGATCTATTTTGTCAAGGGTTCAGATATTTAAATGATAGGTTTTTCAGAGCAGTTCAAGTGTATGGCAAATGTATTTTGAAATATCAAAGTGTTATAGATCCATGATCGTTGTCAGATTTAATATAAAACCTTAGAATAGAGTGTGTGACCAACACTTGCATTTTTATGTAAACTAAAAAAAGCAGATATATTTTTTAACTTTAAAGTATATCTGCAACAAGAGATTATCCTGTGTGAAAACCACCATCTCGCTACAAAATCAAATGTTAACAAGTCATAATAACTTAGAGCATATACATCCTTGTATTCAAATCTATTTAGACTTATTTTCTTATAAAACTTATCTTGTGTTTTTAGTTTAAATTTATGTTGCCAAGAACAGATGGACAAGGAATGGAAACATATTCTTTCAGCTGTAGCCGGCACTAAAATGTGCTTGGCTCTATAGCCTGGGTGTTAATATACTCATTTCTTAGATATATGTCAACCAGAGAACTACACTATGGCAAGCACTAAAACCCCAGATGTGTGCCTGGCCATATTTATAAAACAATAACAACAATAAGCATAGGAATGGCATCCACCATTAGCAGTATGCAGTTTAAACTGCCCAATTCCTAAATAGGTGACATTTCTTGCTGATGTGTAATTGCCTGAGAGAGGTTGATAGGAACAAGAAATGAAACACTTTTTCATAACAGAATTAATCTTTCAGCCCTAAATTCAATGAATCACAGAGAATTGTCTCCACCCACACCATATTGCTACTGTCTACCACCCTCCTTCTGATTTTATACTTTCCTTTAAGTTGTCTTTGTTTTTCTCTCTGCAAAATGCTTTTAAATTTAATCCCACAGTTAATAAGAGCTATGCAGGTACTCTTTTGGATTTAAAAGACCCAGAAGTTCCCAACATTCATGTTACTTCTCATAAAAGAATAACATAGGCATGGGGGAATGTTTATAAATTCTGGCAAAGGTATATACCATATTCCTTCTAATTAAGTGTTCACATAAACAATTGTTCACAAAAACCCTCTAAATTTGTGTTGTATAAATTTGGTTCCAGAACACTTTCTCATTTTTAAATAGTTTGATGTCATATACTTCACATATCACGCAATTTAATTGTTCAAACATATTCAGAAGAGTTGTGCAATCATCACCACAATCAATTTTAAAACATTTTCTTCTTTCTTGCAGTAATTGCTGGTATCTTCCCATTTCTGCCCAATCACACCTTCCATGCCCCTAGGTAATTATTAATGCAGTTACTGTCTCTATATATTTACCTATCCTGGATTTGATAAACAGAAAAGCATACAAAACAAAAATAAGAATCAAACAAACAAACAATACTGTAGCAACAATGAAAAAAAACATAAAATACTCTATTAAAAAAGCAGAAAATATTAAAAACTGGAATAAATTTAAAACGAATCAAAAGACAGATCAAATGATAGAGTATTAAATTGTAATCTAACTGTGTCTGCACTAATCCATTTTCCAATGTCTCTGTCAGATAACAAGGCCATTCACATCCCTGGACTTGGGTCAGAGGAGATTCACAGTGGGCTTAATTCACATGTTGATTCTGCAAATAAATTTTGGACTTTTACTGCAATCCCTACCCTTCTGTAAACCAGGTCAACTTGGATATTAAGCTCTAATACTGTTCCCACGTCAGTTTTCAGATTTTATTATTTACAAACTTTGACTCACATAGATTGATGTGCTTCTTCCTTGTAGACTTAGGGGACTTAGCTACTTAGACGGATGCTTGTTTTTAGACAAGCCTTGAAGACCCCCAACATCATGCTTTATGAAAGTGGGGTACCATCTAGTTTCTTCACCACACTTTGCTATAGCACCGATATCTTTAGTGATCTCTTCCTGAGGGCGAGTATCAAGTATCAAGGGTCATGTCACGAGAACTAATTGTTCTTATAATAGGACTATGATTAAGTGCAATCCAGTATGAATGAGAATCACACGTCTACAATTTATTTATATCTCTGGTTCACTTTAAATAAATCATTATTTTATTGGAAAACATACACCATCCCTATGGAACACAAGGCAATTCTATTGATAAAATCACTACTTTAGGCTATGGTATAGAATTAAAAACCAAAACTACTGTGAAAATGAAATTATACAAGAATAGGCCAGTTTTCAGATCACAGTGCACAGACGGCGGACTTGTACAGATTAACAGTGAGGTGACTGGGAACCGTGACTGGCGCGATCACGTATTTACTGCGTTCATGCTCTCTGCGCTCTTCCTTG